TTGGAGATTGCTATGAAGTCAAGAAATACAAGTAATACCTTAAACTTTCATTAACTGAGCAAACAGTTTTTATCACAGACTGACTGTGATATCCTAAATCATACTATTTGCATTCAACTGCCAGCTGCCCTTTGGCAAAAGTTAAAATTGCCATTCATTGCTACTGAAATTTCAGAACTGTCCACCACTTCCAAGATCTCATAAGATTTGTTTACAAACTTTGCCAAGGTTTTCCAGTGAGTATCCATTTTTGTTCACAGCTTCATTACATTATACAACCTCATACATCTCCCAGTTGTGAGCAAAGGTTGAAGCTTTTTTGTCAAGTCTAAGATCTGGTTAATCAAAGGATTTGAAATCAACTTGAATCAATTTGACTCAAGTTGAAGTTGTCAGGCTCTTAACAACCTCCTAAAAACAACTGGAGTTAACTGGGATATGTCTTCCCAGCTTTCAGTTGGATTCTGTATATTACAATGTAACATTAATCAGTTTGAAAAATATCAGAAGATTCTAAAAATTGCAGTAGTTTGCCACATTAACTGTAGTTAACCCTTGCTGCCACCTTACCAACAAACCATCAGAACTGGAGTTGTCCAAAACATCTACTAAACATGCCAGAATCATATTATGGGGAAATATAAGTTGAGAGCTGAGTTTTGAAATCAGACCTTCCCTCTCTGAACTGTGATCTCTTAACACTGAAATAAATGTCAGAAGATAAAAAAGTACAGCAGATATAAAACCATACTCAGGAACATAAAGAACATTAGGAAGGGACAGACATCACATTCATTTGCAACTGCAATGAGAAATTATTTCACTGCTCAAAAACGTGTGATGGAATAATTACCTTGTCTTCAGCAGTACACTTATACTTGTAAATAGGCAAGTGCCTAAGTGCCCGACATAGATAAGATACTGTGAACTAAAAAGTTTATTTCCAAAGCAATGAATGAACACAAAGAAGGGCACGAGACATTTTTATCCTTACTGAACATCAGGTTATAGAGTTCTGTGACTGCCAATACTATTTTTTGATAATGTCCCTATCTCAGTAAGTACAAATCGCAGAATCAGTGCTGGTCAGTTGAGGTTCTCTAGCACAGCAGTTTAAGTCAGATTGAATTTTCCAGACTGGTGAATATGGAGATGCTAAGAGTTCAGCGTTATTATCGTTGCATCATCCTTAAACACCTGAAAACTAAAGGGAGCAAAAGATCTTCTGTAAAAACAACATGCTTTGATTATATCAGTCATGGAAGGAAATGCATCTTCTACTCACATCCTGTTTATCTGTCTTTAAATGTTAAGCTGGAATTTGTAACAAGAAAGTGTACTGAATATATTTAATTATTATAAACATTAAGAAAATTCAATCACAGTATCTTTCAGCTATTGATGGTCTTGTTTCTTCACTCTGCCACTAACAAATCCCGACACCAATGATGGAGTTATAACACATGGATGCTGAGGAATAGATTGGAAAGCAGCTTTGAACTTCAGAGCTCACCCATGTAAAGATATTCTCCTCTGTGGCACAAACAAACCAAAATCATTTTGGGGAGGGATTAGCAAACATTCAGGCTAGTACGAATAAAAAGAAAGTTAGATGGCTCAACTGCAAGCTCAAATACAAGGAACTATGCCAGGCAGTGTCTACTACTGCCCAGAAACCATGCTGAATTCAGCCTTTCAAACATTTAACATCAGGAAGTAGCTCTTCTCTCTGTGACATTAAAAGGAAAAAAAAGTGGAAGTATAAAGCAAAGGAACTGCTAAGTAGCTTTTTAAAGAAAGTAATGAACAGAAAGAGAACTTAGCAGGAAGGAAGGAAAACGAAGTAACAAATATGTCTAAATTAAACCTCCAGTGCAATTGAGAGTTGCCCTATAATTGACCTGAATGTATTCAGACAAAAATATCACTCTGTCCACACTCTGGAAAGTCATTGTTCTTGTAAATAGGATAGATCAAATGATGACAGATTATAAAGACTATCATTTTAGTAGTGGAACTTCAATTCCTTCTCATAGAACTGTTATTTGAAAATCTAGATGTTGATCCAGTCCTTTGTATCTGGTATATGTTTTTTAGCTTTGGGTTATACCTGAATTTGTTGAGGTAAAAAGAGGAAATTTTAAGGAAACAAAAGCCAGTGAAAAAGTGTGCTGCTCTATGCAGACTTTGCCTAAGGAAGGGAATCAAAGTGTTTTTCCTCTCTGGCAACTGTATCTAGTAGTAACTGGAAAACGTAATTATTATTTGATGCATTCTTTCTAGTTGAGCAGATGGCCAGTTCCCTAGATGCTACTTCAGTGACTTCTTGCTAGGACAACAGGAATGATGGGAAGTAGTCACCCTGACAAGATGCTTCCAACTTCCCTAAAACATGAGTAGAAAGGCCTGCCTCACAAAGGAATAGGTTTCATTTTTGAAGAAGTGATAAGAGACAAGGCACAGAGGCCTGGACATAGTGCCACTGGGGAGCTTGCCACCTGATGCTCTGAAAACTGCAGTTGACATGTCAAGAGAGAAGCCAAAGTAACACAGTGCTAATGCTTGCATTGTGAAGATATCGTTCAAGAGTCTCATGTGTAACTTCACGGGCCTGTAGGCTTGGAGGTCTGCAAGCTTCTAGAACAAGCAAAATTACAGATTAATTGGATAGGATAAAAGTAACTCAAAACTCCTACTGCTTCCTCCTCCTTCAATAGCATATTCTGCTAAGAAGATCTCTGACTTCAAACTCCTAGAAAGCAAGCACATAAATAGGATTTTCTGTGGGTGAACAGCTTTACAACATTGGAATACTCACTACAAAAGAGACTACAAACTTATCCTTCATCTCTTCTTCTCTCCTGGAGTAGATTTCTCCAGTGAATGAAAAATCTCAGAATGCAATTGCCAACAAGACCTTGAACAACCTTATAGTGGCTTTTGTAAAAGTCTACCTCCCTTAAGCAGAGAAGAAAATGTTTCCTTTTATTCTAGACGTTAACTTTCATTTAAAACTCCCTCACATCTCTCACCTATCAGTGAATATTTATTTCACACGAGTAAGCGTAGCAAAGAATCACAGCCTCTTACTGGAAGTTACATTTCATGGAACAAGATCAAAAATGTTAACAGCAAACACGTTGAAGAGGTGCCATTTGAAAATATTCATTTGAACTAATATGACAAGGCTACTGTTCGGAGTTTAAAAAAAAATCACACCTGTGTGCAGACAGATAGAGGCTCTTTATCTGGTAAGAACGTGGTGCAGAGACTCGTGCAATAGATATTTCATCTCTATTGTTATTTATAGTTTCATTGTTAACACAGTCTTGGTTGATGTGTGAAAATACATTCACACCTTTGAAAATGGGCGATTAACTAATCAAATGACAAGATGAATCTCAGGAACACAGAACTGACTGCAATCCAGCACTACTTATGACTATTTTTAATTTCTTGAGGACTGCTGAAAATCAAGCATCCCATCACCTCTTGCATCCTTCAGGACTACAATGGGAATTACAGGACTTTCCCCACTGTAGTAATCAGTGCAGAAAACTGTGACCACAATCACTAGACTCTTCACCAGAGTACCCAATATTTTACTCTCAGGGAATTAACTGCATGAAAGATTACATGGCAGTTTTCCTTGTAGACATAAAGTGTGGGAGACAGTATTGAAGAAATGATGCATGCAGCACAGAATAAAAAGGAGCAGATACCAGCATGGTAATGAAGTTAAGCTTACAGTACTAACATCCATCAGTGTACTGCAAAGAAAAGGTCCGATGCATGTCATCGTAACTTCACAGGACTGCAGAACAAATGCAAGATTCATACTTTAAAAGACCTGACTAAACACAAATTACATTCTCTGAATGTCATTTCAAAACTCTCCCTAGCGATAAGGTGCAAGAGGGTTTCTTATTTATGTGATATCCAGTGATATCCACTTCCCATCTTTTTTGTTGTTGTAGTAATGGAACTGTCTCATTTTACTCTTGGGTGCTCCTACAGAATGAAACTCATGTAACCAGCACTTCCACCTGAAGGATGGCGGTAAATCTTTTCTCTATATATACAGTGCTGATCTTACATCTACTCTGCATATAAAAATGTGCAAAATATATATTAACAAAGCATTTACCTTGTTTATCCATCTACTAAAATTCTTGACGTGGCTTTTATCACATTTCTTACAGTGTAATCTCCTCTTTTCTGTTTGCAAAAATTGTTCTGCTCATATTCAACTCAGTCACATGCCAACCATATCCAGCCACCACCACAGACTCCCAAGTCTATTTCTTTTAATTTAAAGCCTCTTTTTAGATGGTTTATGTCTTAGTGTCTTAGCTATGTTGCTTCTGTTACCCACAATGTCAGTGTTATTCAATTATTTGTCAGGATTTCTAATAAATTTTATGACATTTTTTTCTGATGCTTTCTCATTTCCAATAGCTTATAATAGTTTCAAATAGAATAAGTCTATTAGATTCACACTTGTATATTCTCTCACTCAAAACCTATTATTTCTGCCCCTCAAACTTCCAGAAGAAAGATTTTCTATAATTATTTTTCCATTTCTATTTGTTTCCCATTCAGAAAGATCTTGCTTTTTCTTAGCATCCAACATTTTCTTCTGTCATATGTGAAAAATAGAATTGCAGAATTTGTAGCAATTTTTTGTTGCTTTCCAGACCTGACAGCACTTCTGCAGCAGGGTAGGGCAGGCTGCCCAAGTTACAAAGTTGATGGATATTTGCATCTATTGTCTTCATCAAAAAACAGAAATACCATTCCAAAGAGAGGTTGTCTCTAGCCTAGTAACCTGTGTCTAAAACAATCAAATTAACACAATTTTGAAGTTCAAAGGTCTTAAATTTAAATAAATCTTTGTAGTTCTCATTCTGCAGGGCATCTGTAGATACCAACAACCAGAAGTCTAAGATTGGCAAAGAAGACTTACTTCAATTATTTAATTTGTATTGATTTCAACTTACTGTTTTAAGTGTTCGGATCTCGTGTTGTAAGCTCCTTTTTGTATCATGTGGGGTTTTTGTTTTGTATTTTCTTGTTGCAGAGTAACTCTTTGCAGATTGGCTTTTTTTTTTTTTCCTTCCCAACACTTGCATTCATTGCAGAAGAAGCATACGCCAAAAGCCTTTAAAATAAAATAATAATAAAAAAAAATATGCTGTATTTTCACAGCCCTATTCAAAAAGTATCAAATCGGTGTTATAAAAATCAACTGAAAGTGGTATAGGTTAATATTACCAAAAACAATTATAATATCCATCTTCTACAATAAGAAATGAGAATAAACTTGTGGTATAAAAACAAAATATCACAAAGACACTTAAGGCTCTGTAACAGAAGTACTCTAAATCAGTAAGGCCAAAGGCAATCGTGTGGAAGATTTTGCCTACATCACGCTCTACTAATTTCCGTGAATGCTTTGGCATGAAGAACTTAGCTTTTAGTGTGGCCTCAAGTTAAAATAATCCATTTTCAAATAAAAGCACTGAATTATCATATGGGGAAATCATACATATCTGGAAAAAAAAAAACAACAAGTAAGCAAACAAAAAGCTGAATTTGAAAGTCAGATCTCTATCTGAATGATAATTACTTTTACAAATAAATAACCTGATTTTGTGATCCCATTGAGTTTTTCTAAATTGCTTCTGTTGGTATCTACCAGAGGCACACAAGGTTTATGCGGTGTTTGAGACAGAGTCCTGGACTTCTCACTTACCTGAGAATGTAATGTTTAACGCTCAGCTCATTTGCACTGAGCAGGAAGTAACAGTACAGGATTACAGAGGAAATGCTACACTGAGGAAGAATTTTTGCCACCTCATATAAGAGGCTGGTGTTTAAACAGACTGATTTTTCATACCACTCATCTGCCAAAATAGCTGAAGAGGCTAGTGGGAAAAGAGACTCTTTGGAGACTGAATTCTATCTCTTAAAAAAGTCTTGACTTTCAGCTCTCATCATGTCTGAACTATGTATTACTTTCAGAGTGCCCTAAGTACCTTCTTAAAGATTTTCATTCTGTGTTTTGCCTCTCAAAGTGGTTGACCGTATCATTAACAGATAGGCCGGTCAGTTAAATATTCTAGAGGCTTACAAGACCAGAATTATTCCTCTGCCCTTAAAGCATGCTTCAGATACGTCTCAATAAAGAGGCAAACCACGAGGAAACGCAGATCGGACTGAAGTGCAATGAACTCATAGTGATGGTCATGCAAAAAGCACTGCACATTCTTTCTGCAGACCTCCTAATGTGTGATTTGTCTTAAGCAACCGCACTTATACAGGAAGCTCTTTCTTAGAGGGTGCAAAACAACTAACCAACGAACGTAGCCACTCCCGTAATTCTCATCTTCTCACTGCCTAGAGCTCCTGGAGAAGCTGATATCCTCTGCTCCAGGAGACTTCCAGGGACGAGCGTCTAAACCACCTCAGCACCGCTCACAGCCCCTCGTCCCAGCGGACAGGCAAACCCAAACCCGCGCTCCAAGGCAAGTTCCGGCAAGTTCCCGCACGCTCCCTCATCCCTTCCCGCCTTCCCCTAAGCGCGCGCCGCCGCCGCCCTCTGCCCGCATCGAGGCTGTGCAGAGGGTTGGGCCGCGCCTGCGCGGCAGCGGCTCGGGGCTGGCCACGTAGGGTGCGCAGCTGCGGGCGTAGCGTGGAGCCGCAGATGGAGCCTCCCCCCAGCGCAGCAGGTAGGGGCGGTCGCCCGCCGCGGAGCGCTCACCCCCGCGCCTCCTCTTCTCGTCGGCGCCTCGCCACGGTTTCCTGTGGGAAGTCCCCGCTTCTTCTCCCCGCTGGGTGTGGAGGAGGATGGCCGCGGGAGGCTCGGCGGGCTCGGGCTGCCCCCGGGTGCTCGCGGTGTGGGGGCTCCGTTGCCCGCCTCCGGCCTCTGCCTCAGCGCTGTGAGCGCGGCGCGGGCCTCAGGCTCCCATCAGCGGCAGAACTCGGCCTGAGCCCCGGGACAGCGAGATCTGCGTGCCCTGGGAGCTTCGCTATGCCTGCCCGCCTGACTGGGAGTGAAGCAGCGAGCTGTCCTGGGCCTCGTGTGCACAAGTGTCCCGGTGGCTCGTGGCTGTGTCCCATTGCTGAGTTCTAACCTGTGGCCTAGTAGTAGCACGAGGTGCATATGAGCACTATGTTCCTGAGGCTTGTCCCTTTTGCAGGCACACCTGTGTTACAAGGTCAGGCTTTTAGCAAGGTGAAAGCTGCCAGGGCATTCACATTGCCTGTCTTGCCTGTGCCTTGCTTGATGAGGCACTGGCCTCAGAAACCAAAGGGCGCTGGCCGTTTCTTGCTCCTGATGGCAATGGCTTGAGTCTGGCTTTCCAGACCCTGCTGATAAGGCACTGCTGTGGTGCTCAAGCTCTGGTTTTGTGGATGGCACATCTAAGTGTTGGAGTGGTAGAGTTAAGAAAATAGCATAAAACTTCTGCTGTGCAACAGCTGGTGGTAGTTGTCAGCAGCACAGTTTTGCTGTCAGTTATCCTTTAAAAGAAGTTTCTAGTAATTACAATAGCTGAAATTAAGCTATCATTCATTCTTTGTATGACAAATGATTCCAGATTCTGACATATAGCAGCAATGTTTTGCATCCACGTTTGTTCCTGCTGTTACATGACATGTGCCTCCCACCCTGTACTGTAGTTTTTTTAATCTGTAGTGGTAGTCCTGAGCAGGTACTTTAGATATATACTCCTACACCAGTACTGAGATTGATCTGCTAAGCAGCAGCATTGCTTACTGACACCTCGCTCAATCTGCGACCTTGTTTTCTTCTAGCTTATCTCCCCACTAGCCCTGCCGTCAGTCCCTAGCTGTTACAACTCTGCTGAAAACCTCAGAACCTGTACTGAAAGCAGAGATGTCTACGTGAGATTGTGGAGAGAGTGGAACAATAGCTGCGAGAGGTGTGAGATGCTCTGTTTGTATCAGTAAGGTGTTAACTCAGATACCCTGGTGCGGTTGTCATCATTAACTGCTTCTTGGCTCGTGTGTGAGAAAAAAAGAGGAAAAATCACAGTTGAATAAATAGTTACCATGAGTGATGCTCCATTTATGGTTACAAAACACACAAATGTTCTTGTGCCTTTGCCAGGCAGTAGAGAGTGAGTGTCAGGGAGTCCTCTAAGGTTCAGAATGTAGAAGCTGTGAATCATGTCACAATTTTTATGGAAGGAGGCTTTTTGACAGCCCTGGTTTGGGAAGAAGCTGTGGCTCTGTTAGTAGGTGATTCCAGTCATAGAATGGCTTGGATTGGAAGTGACCTTAAAGATCATCTAGTTTGAGCTCCCTGCTATGGGCAGGGATGCCACCCAATAGATCAGGCTGCCCAAGGCCCCATGCAGGCTGGCCAGTAAATGAATTAGTAGATAAGTCATTTGAGAAAACTGTGCATTAACATGATTTTGTGTTATCCTTAAGAATGAATGTGCTACAGCCCAACGTGGGAGTTTTATTTATTGGCTTTTTTTTTTTTTTTTTTTTTTTTTTTTTTTTTTTTTT